AATACTTGAGGGTAGGGCGGGTTGCGTAGAGCTTCTGTTCAGGGGCGCTTGAGTCATCATAAACGCATAAAATGAACGTGCGTCTATGTAGGACAGACATAAGCACAATGCCTTTGTACTATGCCTATACTCTTCGCGCAAGTGCAACCAATAAGTTCATGAAGTTTTATCACAATCGGATGAAGGGCATAAAAGACAGGAAATTTTGATTTTTGTGTATTAGATGGATCTTTCATTGTTAAGAAATGTGTATTTATTACCGGTGGCTCGAAAAGTGAACTGAAGGCGCAGACGTGGCCGTGCAACTGCGTCGACTGGGAGCAGCGCGCGAGCGGCGCCGTGAGGTCGTTGCGCGCTTATGGCCCAGGTGCCTGCCGCGTCATAACCCTCCTGGCGCCCCGCAGCCTCATTCTGCTCAGCCGCACACGCAGTAAATCAGCGCCGCACCCCTCGCCCCCACCCGCTCTGTCCCTCTGTCCTCCGCCCCTCGCCAACGCTCATCCGCGCCCTGGCTGGGCTCGCCCCGCCCTCTCCCGCTCCCGGTCACGCGCCCCCTCTTCCTTCGCCACGTCCCCCAGCCACGCGCAGGCCGGTGCTCTCTCGTCCCCGCCGCCGCAAGCCCCCTTTCCCTCAATTCCTTTGTCCCCGCCCCTCTTCAACGTATCCCATTTAATCACATCCCTCTAGCGAACCCGCCGTTGCCAGCTGGCATCCATCACAATAAGCGGACAGTTCACGCCCATTCACCGTCTCCTTCCCCCCCCCCCCCGAACTCCTCAACATCCTCCCTTTATCTCGTGCACCCTCCCTGCCTCCACGCACCCCGTCCCGACTCAACCTACTCGCACATTGCGATGCCCAGCCCCACGTGGTCCGTCCCCGACACACTCACGGTCTCACTGAAGACTGTCTTGCCCAACACTGCCACGTCCTGCGCCAATCCAACCAGACCCGACCCGACCCGCGCTGCTCGGCACTGAGAAACCCAGTCTCCCATTCCCCTTCTCCCATATTGCCCCGCCTCAGCCGTCCCTCCGCCACGGTTTCGCTCCCCTTTTGGATTCCACTCTCTTTCCGCCTCATATTACCCCGCCTGGAGTCCCCCCATCCACAAAGTTTGATGTGCGCTTAAAGTTGTACGGGGCTCGTCTTGTTGCCCTGAGCCTCTCCGCTGCCGATGCCGACCTTTGTGGCCCCTTCACTACAGGACGCGCCCCTTCACCCCTCCGCGTACCTTCCCGCTCACTCCTTCACCGCTTGCTCGTGCGGCCCGCCATATGAGCACTGTGATAATGCTCGTGGATCACTCTAACTCCCAGGTACATGAACTCAAATTCATCAGCTACGTTCGTGGAGCAAGGCCCCCTTCAAGCCCGGAGCTCATCGCAACTGCTATTGCGGTGGCCTTTGAACCTCCCCTCCCCCCCTAGCCCTTCACGGATGCCGTGCCCGTATTGCGCCTTCGTTTTAGATGCGGATGTCAACAGAGTTTAGCTACAGTTCTGTCACCTTTATAAACCATGTGTTAGGTCGTAATTACCCGAATACTTTTTGGGGACAAATTTTCCTTTCGTTTTAGATTTGTTGGCAAAGTCAATGTTTCCTATAATATTCAAACACATTTTCTCATTTGTGTTTCCAAAACATATCCATATACTAGATATTTCACCTGAAATGAATGTTTACGCAGTGACATTAAACTGTTTATGTCATTAATTCAATATAAATTATGTATTTAATAATTCTCAAATATTTTTGATTCTTATGTTTTCGAAAATATGTCCATACACTATATATCGTACATGGCGTGAATGTTGATGCAGTGACATAAATGTGCAATTTTCGCTTATGACTCACTAAGCTTTTGGATTTCTTTCGAAATCTGTCATCAAACTTCACATTCCATATCAAGAAAAAAAATCTTTAGTTGCTTTTTAATCGCAGTTTTGTATGATATGCACTTTCCAACGAACATTGTTTCTAAAAAATATTGTTATCCCTACGATCGCAGTTATCTTACAGAAACGCAGCGCCGCTATAACCCACTCCTCTTTCCCTTTCTGCCTTGTCGCCCGTTGCTAGGGTCCGATTTCGCAATGAAGCGAGAGTGGGGAAATCCAGGATGGAGACAGAAGTGTTTGCGTCAGAAGCTTGTAATCTCCTCCTGCAGGACGCAACAAGCACACCTGGATTACAAGAGTAATCCACACCTACCCCATCGGATTCCGCATTTCCACCCTCTCCTTCTGCCTTCGCAGAATCGACTCTCCCTGCCACGATTCGGCTGACGTTCTCTTTATGTCACTGTGGTAATCTGGGAAGGAGGAGTCTTTCCAGGTGACTGGAAAAATATTTTATCATAACTAACAACGAATATGATTCGAAATTAAATACAAAGGTTTCATGAACCCCAATTTGTAATCACTAAGATGTTAGATTAAACATTAGTTATTCTGAAGGCATTATTTGTAGTTTGGTTTCAAATTGAAGTAGGATACTTCTATTATTTACTGAAAAAAACCCTGGGCAAATGCCAGAGGAATGCCCTAATGAATGGGCCATCTTCCCTTTCTCTTCCTCCTTTTTGTCTCCACTCACACTACTCGTATTAAGAGCCCAGTGCGGAGCTTGGAGCTTTTGCCACCTAAAGTGACGTTCCGGACGGGGCACCTGGGGGGGGGGCAGCTCCCACAAATCGATATGCAGGACCGCGCCGAATCTCACCATGCATCGAAGGCCCCATTCACTATATTTACGGGACTACTATCCATAGCAGTTGACGATTCCCAAAACATAACGAAAACAAATCGAGCATTTTCCCCCTAACAAATATGTTTTCACGTAAATCAACAGAAATTATAGAGATATTAAGTTCTAATTCTCTCTTCATTTATACGTATAACTCACGTAATTCCTTTATCATTCTTGTAATGCAGATAACGTGTTTTAATCCCTAATGACTATTTTTTTTATTTCTATTTGGCATGTGCTCCTTTACATCCAAACTTCGGCACAGAAACTCAAGAATTCCTTCGCTCTCAATACCTTTCGTCTACACCAAGTTATCCTTCGCGGGTAAAAAGTATTCTTCTGTCTCTCAAACGTCATCCTTTACTATCAAACTGCACATACATCTAAAGTATTAACATAAGAGAGATACCGCCAAGAGCCTAGATAACCGTTTTTGTCCGAACGACTGTTATATCCTCTTTTGTCCTTCCTCTGAACAGATACACAATTCAAAATTTTTCCAAACTTCAATATTAATCGATACCGTATATACACACACACACACACACACACACACACACACACACACACACATATATATATATATATATATATATATATTATAAATCATAATGTACAAATTATATATTTTGTATTTTGTGCGTAACTTCAAGTAAAGTATGTTCCTGACCTACCAAATTATCTAATAAGCTATTCTAAATATTTGAAAATTCACCACTTTTCATCAATATGAAAAGCTTCTAAAGTTTTTATAACCTTACGTAAAATATTTGTATCCATTTAATCGTAAGTCACATTTTACAAAACGGATGTCAATTTCGAATTATTAGAACACAATTGTTCTTTAATCCGTATCTCTTCAACAAGTAGAGGATAATAATTGTAAACACAACAATTCGTAATTTAGAATCAGTAATGTATAGTTTTGTCTATTTGTAATGTGTATTTTGAGGAATATTAATAGAAACATTTTAAATATCATTGGCTGCCTAACACCTTTTGACAGCATCAGTGGGTTTCTTCTCGCAGAACGCATAGGGAAATTTAAAGGAAATTTATAGAATATTCAATTAATATTAGATTATATTATTAGCAAATGCAGTAAACGGACGATATTTGTGTTATGACATCTTATTACAATACTCTGGTACTTTTAAACATGGGCGTACGCCTACGTTCGATAATTTTTAATTCCTTATTCTAATATGGTGTCTGATGATATTTATTTCGTAAATACCCATTTGGACTTGGGCAAGTTTGCTTAAAACGCAAAAAAATATTTTATTTCAAACGAATGTTCGATTTTTTTGTTTCAAATTGTAAATTCTATTTTCTAGTGAAACTTACCATCATTTGACACCTAGCCCAGTTTCATGTAACAATGCTAATTCTATCCTTCAACAATGAAAATGTCTACTTAATCCAACGCTTAGCAACAAACTTTGGTTCTCTGTACCGTGAAGCCCTCGTGTTTACGAAAATCTGAACAGCGACACGCGGCACTCGCCGAAGGCGGAGTTTTAACGTGGTAGGTACAGTGGAGTGCATGGAAGTTGCAAAGAATCGTTTCAATGGTGTGTAAACATTTAAGTTGCCCGCAGCTCATACACATCTTTATTCTACTCATTTTCAGAATGTGAAATAAGGTAGTATATTTTATAATGATTTTTCTGCTTTCAAGCAATTTATAGAAATATTATTAAGTAAAATTAACCTAAGACGTTTTATTTTCATGTGGTTTATTTGAGGTATTATAACATCTTAACTGTTGAGCCAGCTTAAATATGTATAATGTTAAGTATTCACTATTTTCCCTCTTTATATGCATAATTGACGTCAATTTCATCAATTAAACTAAAATAATTTATCTGCTTGTATTTGGTGAAGACGGACAAGTATGCCTTGGAAACTTTTGTATCTGGCCTTCCTGACTACTTGTGTCTTCGTGATAGCTATTTAGTTGTCTTACATTCCTACGTAATGCAGTCTGAAAGTTGAGGTGGCCTGAGAAGAGGTTTGAAGAAAGTGAATAAAATTTAAATTATCAATTTTTACAACTAGAAAGCAGCAAAATCGAAGTGTAGAATGTACTCAATAGAATACTTTAACTAAGGTGAAAAAAGACAAATGAAGAGAAACGGGTTAGTATGCGTGCGCTATGGCTGTCAAACATTACAAAATACATTTTGCGGAGTCTGGCAACGTAGTCGGAGACTGTTCGTAAAATCAGTAGGGAGCTTAGAGCTTGTATGGTGGCCAGGTGGCGGAGATGTCTGAAGGGGGTAACCCGCGCAAGCAGCCGTGTGGGCCGGTGTCGGTTCTCACTTTCAATGTAAGAGGAGCACCGGCACCTCTCGCTTACAACATGCGCAACTGTAGTTGAACTAATGACTCCGGCAGGTGACTCACCCGGGAACACAAAATAATGACTCTTCCTCACGCTTACCCAAATCCCTAAAGGAACTTTCCGACGTGCGGGCTAATGCACGCCCGCGCTCTCTAGGGCTTGCTTAATTGATTGACGAGTGATTTCGAGCGCGTGAACCGCTAAGGTCGTTAGTCCCGTAAGTGCAGGGAGTGTTTTTTTTATCTTCCCCGCTGGATGGACAGATCCGGTGCCGCTCTATGTCGCCCAGGGGTTTTTCCCCAACCAGATATCTTCCACCCAGCCTGACAAGCTCTAAGCCCCCGCGCAGCGTGTGTGGTGCGAGGTGTCGAGGGCGGGCGCGTGCGAGCAGGTACTCGGCGTACGGCGTGGCGGAGCCGGCGGTGGCGCACGCGGTGAGCGTGGAGGTGTTCGAGCGGCGGGCGGACGCCGCCGGCTGCCGCTGGGTGGACGTCACGCGCGGGGAGGCCGTCCGGTGAGTAATAACACTCTACGCATGCCCAACATGTGTTAAATGTGCAATCCACTTGATTTGATGCTGCGCACAGCGTGAACTGCGTATCGTTCCGTGAATCGATCCGCAGTCCTAAGTGAGCTTTCCGCCACCGGCGTGGGTACCCGGGTCAAAAGCGCGGCCGATGCACATGCAGTTTGTGGGGGAAATCTCATATTACTGTTGTTCACACATCATTCATATCACTCCATCAAATAGAACCTCAGTACCAATTTCATTACGTTTCTCAGGGACAACCATACAAGTACTGGTGCTGGGATCAGAGCAGAACGTTCGCGGGCCAGTTTATCTATGGAAATTTGTTATTGAGTACGTGGTTGATGACCGCACACAAATATCAACTCACTGCAAGACCCATAAACAAATCGGACACCTCAAGGTTACTCATTACGCCCCAGTCGGTGTCTCGGGCGCAGAGGCATCTTGGTCGAGACGTCACGAAGCGAAGGCCGTTTGAGGCCAACGGAGTCGGTTATCGCGGTGCGGATGATTGTGTAGGTGATTGCCTTTGATAGACAAGGAGGGTAAATAATTGGAGTTACCTCAAAGATGAGCCTGAGCCGCAAATTTAACCCAACGTACCTGAAGTTCTGTTGTAAGCCTGAAAGTCTCATGTTGCATTGTGCAAACGATGACTATTGATGTATAAGGATGGTAAATAGTGGGGTTATCTAGAAGGTGATCTTGAGCCACAGATGTAACACATCTTCTCTGCCATCGTAAGCATAAACGACATGTTTTATTTCTAACCTTTGCTAACTTAATAATTAACGTGAGGTATCTAACATTATTCCTTAGCAAGAATCCTATTTTCATAGTCACTTTCCACTACCCGTCTAAGCATTAATCCATTCCAACCACGTCCAAATTGCTTGTATTCCTGCATGGTAATAAACTAGGCCCGCCGCTATCCCACCGCGTATATGAACAGCACAACAAGTAACAATTGCGAGTGGCGAGGTGAAAGCATGCGTGCGTGCGGGTCGTACTGTGTGCACGGGCGACGAGATAACGAATAGTCGGGAGACATCGCGAAGTTGACCTTGAGGCACCTATTTTCCTGACCTACGTGGTTATGGTTTTATTTTCAAAGTGAATATTTGGATATTCTTGGAGGGGCGCATCGTTTGAGCATTCGAATTAGATTCCAGCGATATTACTATTGTAATACAAGCAGTTTCCGGCGGTTATTGCTAGTGCAGCAGCTATCAGTCGAGTCATATTTTACTCTACTTCAATACCATTCATGCTAACGTTTGTCAACTGCCGTTGTGAACAGCGCGTGCACAAGACTGTGTTACAATAGTAATGTGAAGGCGTGAGCGCGCGTGTGCGCAGGCTGGACGTGTTCAACCGGCGCGTGCGCGATGAGGCGGGGGCGTTCGCCTTCACGTACAGTGCGCCGCGCGTGGCGCCCCGCGGGCTGGCTCTGCAGCCGGATGACGTGCGCCTCCTGGTGCCGCAGCCGCCCGACGCGCCCGGCGCCGCCTTCCCGCAGGCCGACGGTGAGGCAGCGACGGAGGGAACGACTTAGAGGGCAGGACTTAGAGGGAAGACCTTTTGCCAGAGGCGGCGGAGGCCCGCCACGCGCGGCGCCAGGTAGGACGTGGTACGTTGCAGGGCAGGCGGAAGCGGCCCCCGCCTCAATCGCGCGCTAAAGGCGGCCGCGGATTGGTATTAGAGGGGCAGAGGGTGTAGGGCAGGAGGTAGGAGGGGCAAGGTTGAACACGGGTTCCTAGCCTGCGCGCACACGCGGCGCTCCACGCCTTCACATTACTATTGTACACGGAGTCTTGTGCACGCGCTGTTCACAACGGCGTGTTGCAAAACGTCATAGCATGAATGGTTATTGAAGTAGAGAGAGAAATATATGACGGTTGACTGATTAGCTGCTGCACTGCACGCATAAAGCCCGAGCTGAGGAAACTGCTTGTATGATATACAATAGAAGTGAGATCGGTGAAATCTAATTCGGAATGCTAACGATGCGCCCCTCCAAGGAATTTCCAGGAAGTATTCAGCTATTGAAAATAAAACCATAACCACGTAGGTCAGAAAATAGGTGCCTCAAAGGGTCAACTTCGCGGGTGGTTCCGTACTCGTTACTCGTACGCGACCGGGTGCAACACAGTACGACCCGCACGCAGCGGCACTGCTATTGCACGCACTCGCGCACTCGCAATTGTTTACTTGTTTGTGCTGTTCAAGTCAGTAGACGCGGCAATGGGAGAGATTATAGCAGCGGGGCCTAGTTTGGCAGATTACCAGAGCAGGAGATAGTACAGGAGCGCACATAGTGTGGAACGTGGGGTTTGGAGAATGGGTTGAATGGCTGGCTAAGGACGGAGGAGTGGGAATATATGACTTTGAGGGCAGGAATGGATTTTGCTAAGGAGAATATATGTTAAGAAGGGTAGCCGTGTCACAGGAGTGATAATTATTAGTTAGCAAGGGTTTAGAATAAAACATGTCGTTTTATTTACGATGGGAGAGGGAGGATAGGTTTACATCTGGTAGCATGGGCTCGAAGATTCACCTTTTCTAGATAACCCAACTATTTTCCCATCCCTGGTAGGGGGGCAGGAAGGTAGAGGGCAGGACGGCTAGAGGGCAAGAGGTTTAGAGGGAGGAGATTAGGGGGGCAGGAGGTAGAGGGCAGGGAGGTTAGAAGGCAGGAGGTAGAGGGCAGGAGGTAGAGGCAGAGGTAGAGGGCAGGAGGTTAAGAGGCCAGGAGGTAGAGCGCAGGAGATAGGGGCGCAGGAGGTAGGGCCAGGAGGTTAGAGGGCAGGAGATAGGGCAGGAGGTAGAGGGCAGGAGGTAGAGGGCAGGAGTTAGAGAAGGTGAGAGGCAAGCAGAAAAAAGCGATCATTAAGGAGAGAAGAGGGAGAGGAAACGTCCTTTTGCTGCGGGTGGCAGGTGGCGCGGCCGAGTTCCTGGTGGTGCCGGCGAGCGGCGTGTCGGCGGACGGGCGCGAGTGCGACCGCGCGGGCGTGGGCTTCGCCGCGTTCGCCACGCAGCCCGACCGCTGCGCGCGGCCCCGTGGCTCCTGCCTGCGCGCGCAGCCCCTTGACCTGTGGCGCCGCGACGCGGTGGGTTCGTTCGGAAATGGCTTTATCATTATTTCTTGCAACGCCATCGCCCTGCATCGCGTTCATTTGTTTCTCGTCCTGCCAAAGCGGTCTCTTCTCACTCATACACCGTTTAAGAAAACGTACCTCTGAAACGAAATGTTCACCCGGTGAAGAAATTATTGGCCTATAAAGAAATGGTTTGTCATTTAAGCTAACTTGGACCGACAAAGAAACTAAAGTTCTTAACCAATTGCAAATATACAAAAAAGATCTGTTACTAAACGAAAGCCAGCTAAAACCTTTGCTGCTTCATCACTTGTGGGCGTAAAAAAATAGCGTGTTAGGTATGCAAATATGGGTTGACTAAGAAAGGATTCACTCTTTAAGAATATATAGGCCTCCAAAATAACGTTTTCTTATGCTAACCTAGACCTGCACAGAATTGCACAAAGTTAGGTCTACAAAGAAATGAAATGGACACGGTTTAATGCTTGATAATACGTAAGCCTGTAAAGAAAAGAGCTGGTTTCTTATCCAAACACAGAAATGAAAAGTCTCCTGCTTTATAATCGTAGTCTCGCGAAGAAATGTCTGCCTCGCCTATCGTACATCTACAAATGAAAGTTCTGCTTTTTGACAAATCATTTCTTCTTCTTGACACACTCAAGTAATCGAAATAAATCAGTTGTAGCTAATGATTTAACCTTATTCCAAGAAAATGTATTTCTTATTTATATTTTTTTCTCATAAGAAGGGCGTGTTATGGAGAGTATTGAACAGCTCACGACCGATGTTACAAGTTTATTAGAAAACGGCTTCCGCCTTGGCTTGTAAACAACGTCACCGGCGCCTCCCGCGCGATCTCCGTGGCGCGAGTGGCTCGATGCGCAGTTTGGTGTGCGCAGGAGCTGAAGAAGCAGGGCCGCCCGGGCAAGTACTTCCTGCAGAGCTTCGCGCGCCTGCCGCCGCAGCCGCTGCGCCTGCGCCCGGGCTCCGACGACACCTTCCTGGCGCTGGCCTTCGACGGCGCGCTGCAGGACGTGGTGGACCTGGAGCTGAGCGCCGACTTCAACGCGCCCGTCTCCTCCGGGTGAGCCTCGCCGGCGGCCAAAGGGCATTGAGCAATGGAAAGACTTTTTTTAAACGCTGCAAGCAAATAGATTTGTTCCATATGAACGTTTCTCAAGATGGTTATTTTCTTCGCAATTGCTTTGTAATACGTTACGCCAACCTGGGGCATCCAACTCATGGTAGTTGATATCATTTATCTTTTCTCTTGATAATGGCTTCCGTATTCTCGATATTTCAGACTGGCGTAATTGACTTCTTGCATTCAGTAAGCCAGTTCATTTGTACCCAGCCCTCGTTACTAACAAGACAACTTTCTTCCAAGTAGTATCAACATGACTGATTTTATGTAACCACAAAAAGGTTAGTTTGTTCAAATCGTTGTGCAACGTAGACATAGGAATTGTCAAAATATGAATAGTTTTTTGATTGATTGTGATATTCCAAGAAGCGTGAGTAGTCCCATAGAGAAGACGAAAAGACAGTAAGAATGGGAGATTACCGTGCAATCAGCAGGGGCTGTAGGGACGACAAAAGAGAGGCGAGACCTGTGTGGGAAGGAAAGAGAAAACAATCACGCTCCTTTGTGAAGATAAAGACGCAACTGATCCCAGAGAGAACCTTATATTTCTCACGTTCGCCAACTTCTCTAGATAGAACTAAATTGTGACGCCCGTTACTATGTTACAAAATGACCCGCAGAGCACCACATTGGTGTATATAAAGAAGGTCATACCCCATCGTTTTCAATGAAAAACTCCACAAAGAAACTTTTGGTAGATAGAACCCTCTGGTTCGCATCCCACGAAATATTGAATGTAGTTGTTGCTCTTATTGACGGTCAAGAGGGAGCCCATTTACAGTGTAGATGGTTGGATGTTGCCGACCCTGAAATCTTTTGTTGTTGTTTTTTTGTGGTTGTTTGTTTTTTGTTCGTGTGCGCTACAAAGCGCCTGTTGAAGTCTTGGTGAATCGGGAACAATTTGGGGGTGGTGGTTGGTGTTGTGGTTGTTGTTGACAACGCGAACTTGTCTCCTTAAAGTGATGGTAGAGCGCGCTGCGCACAGTGTAAAAATGGAGTATAATGAAAATTCTGATGGCTGTTGTTGCTATCCACAACACGCGCCTCTCCTCTGAGATATATAACAGCACTTGGCGCTTGACGTTTCAAAATAACATAATAATGTTGAAAGTTTTTATCCTTGTTTTGTAGCTGAGCCGCACGACTAAACCTTTTCATCTGAGCTCGTCGCGCACAAGAAAGAAACATATAATGTTGAACATGATTATTGTTCCTGTTGTTATTTTATTGCAGTTGTCATTGATTACAACGAGAAAATTATCTTCACGCGAAACACAACGGGCCAACTACACACAAGTGGACATACGAATGCTGATGCTACTCTTTACACGCTCTGGAAATTTGCCCAATCGCGCACCCTTCACATAGGTTGATTTGAGGAATTTATTGTATGTAGCATCACATATTGCCACGTTGCGCGTAAAGAGTTTTTGGTCTATTTCGGTCTCCACAATTGCTCCCTGAGGCCCCCACAACAACGCTTTGTTTGCTGCTAGGGTCGATTTCTGGCTGAGCGATTATCGAATCTGTTCATGACGAGAGTTGTCAGAGGATTTAACTTTGCTGTATATCTGGCCATGGTTTTTTAACTTGCCATAACCATACTGGCAGAGGTAGCTCATGGCAGCAATTGATGTCACTGCACTACCTCTGATTTAGAGGTCTTAGAGTTTGAATTCATTCTCTTTCTGGAAGAGCATTCTAGCGGTCGCAGTTTCCGCAGTTTTCCGCAGTTTCCATCGGTGAATGCCGTATCAGTGCCGTTAAAAAAAGGGCCACGGCCCCTCGCACGATTTCTCCTTCCTCGTTCTATCCTCATCCCATACTTACACATACACATGTACTACACTACCACACATGCCGGGAGAGCGGTGCCGCGCTGGTGGAGGTACCTCGTTAGGGAAATCCCTCTAGCTGACGTGTTTCGCTACCCGGCGGGGGAAGAAAACCGCCTGTTCCAGGAACAAAACATGCACTATGCTTACTGTATTTTCCTTTTTATTTACCAGGGCCGGCAAAAGGTTTTCTGTCAAAAAATCACCATTTTCCGGGGCACGATTGATATACTTTCTCGAATTCAATTCGCTTTCACAGCAGCATTAATTAATATTAACATTATTTCCCTCCTCAACATTGTTATTACTCTATTTCGTTGAATTATTACAACAGTATTATTACTCCATGTATATTCAAGGGCAAGGGAGATGAGTGAAAATATTAGGCCCTTAAATGAGTGTTTGTGCTTGAGAGTGTGTGTGTGTATGTGTGTGTGTGAGAGAGAGAGAGGTGGGGAGAGAGAACGAATGCCAATAAAATATTACTCATAGTTGTGGAATAAAATGCCCTTCATCACTCTATTTATTAGAACACTGAGAGCTTACTCGTACTTTATAATGCCACCCTCAAGATTGTTGATTCTTCTAAGATATTAAGAAACGACGTTTTTCAGTTGAGATTCATTCCAACGATATTCATTCCAAAATATGTGATCGATCACGGCAGTAGCTAGTTCTGAAGAATATGAACATAATTAAAAAAGTGCAGAAACAGCCACTTTGCATCACCTAATACATCTACGTTGCATGCATTGTAATAGTATTTTAGACTCTAAACTACTAACTGAAATCCTCTAAGTAAATTGAGGAAAAATTACGTGTGTGAGATTGATCGTTTTGGGATACATAATGCTATTGGAAGATGTATGAAGTTACGAAAGTTTTATAATCAGATACTGGTGTTTAGTAATGCAAACTGTTGATTTTTGGAATTTTATCACTAAATAAGATTGATGTTTTACAGTATAATCACAGTTTCACAATAGGATCTAAATAAAATTATAACTCATTAATAGTCTTCTAAATCAATGATATATGAAAGAAAAGTATAACTAATTAAAGTAATAGGATATTGTTTCATTACCTCAGTCAGAATTCATTCAAACTGGATTTTTTTTAATTTGCTCGGGTTGTCATTTTATTCTGCTATACACATTTTCCAAATCCAAAACTCACAAAGAATTAACTGCATCTCATTTTCAATTTTGGAATATACCGTAATAATGGAAATAATGTTCATTATCACGTCATATCATGTCATGTTTGAAGCTAAATCTTTTGTGTTGCCTATTTTCTTCTCATTCCATTCCATTCCTTTCCCTGGCCCTCGTGCATCTAAATGAACTACAGGTTAACATGCCACCGCTAATTATTATTTCAATGAGAGACGCCAGCGCGTAAGTCTCCCGCCGTGAATCAGCGTGGCCTATCTCTGCGGCGTAAATGCACCGCCTGCGCCTTTGCAGCAAGAGGCCGCAAGCGCCGGCGCAGTTAATCACTGTGCACGCAGGCATTTGTTTCGCCCGCGACAGATGGCGCCACGGAGCGCGGCTTTTCGCTTCGCCCGCTACGCGGAGAACTACGTGCGACGTGTGTGACGAAATGAGAGGTAGTCGGGGAAGCGGGTGGTTGAGTGAGAGTGCGAAAGCAAATCGATGGGGAAATTGGGAGATAACTAATGGTTGGGACTGTGAATGTGTGGTTAAAAAATATTTAGTTTTTTTTGTTTATGGATGGGAGAAAGCATATGTTTAATTGTCCTCCCGGCCTGCCTTCTTTATTGATCAAGTCGTACGATGGTGAGTGTGTAAATGTTTCGATAGTAGAACAGAAACAATGGGATAATGTGGGAAGGAATGTCTGTGTGTGTGAGTGCGTACTAGGAACTTTTAGGGGGAATGCTACATGGCTACAGAACAAAGCAGAATGAGAGGAATGTTTAGTGAAATGACTTTATTCTGCCATCTTGACAACTCCAACGAGTGTAAGGAAGTGGATGGATATCAAAATGTAGAGAGTATAGATAAGAGAATAACTGGGTGGAACTGGAAAAACATGTGAGTGGATAGCTGTGGAAAACATGCGAATAGATGCGGGCGTGCTCTGCTCGATAAATTTTCCTGGTACCGCAGGTATCCGCCAGTTCTTCATTCCCAACTTTGCAATAAATCAAAGCAAACGTTACTTTATCTCCCTCGCGTTTTTTTATCCTTCGAGGCAATCCAGCGAGGACGTCTGGTATCGAATTTGTCAATCGAATGTAGTACTTGACCGCTGGCGGCGACGGCAGCCAGGGCGGCGGAAATAAAACTGAACGTCGTGCCGCCGCCGCCGCCCCCCATCGCAGTTCGCCTCGCCCTAAAGGGCCCTCGCCTCCAAATGAAGCGCCCGCCGTCCGACGGCGACTCGGGGTCGGGGGGAACGCACCTCTTTGCCGCGGCGTGGCGGGGCGGGGCGGTGGCTTTAGAGGAGAAAATAGCGGGAGGGAATAAAGCAAGTGATAAGGTCGGGAGATGGCCGTTCTGGTGGGGATGACAGGTCGGTGATGGTGGCTATGAGGGAAGAAGGAGGAGACAGAGGTGGAGAGGGGAGTGAGGATGAGTAGGGCGTGAAACGTAGTGCTATGGAGAAGACGGAGAGAGTGGCCAGCCAGCGGATAGAAGCTGGCCGCGCTACGTGGGAAGGATCTGGCGAGCACGAGGGGAAGGGAGCGAGGGAAGGTGTAAGGAATGACGTAGGGGCGGGAGAAGTTGCGATATGAAGGCAGTGGCGGCCGAAGCGGAGCAGGTGGAACGGGCGATAAGTTCGGGAAATGGCCGTTCTGTCAGCAAGAACGGTGGGGTGGGAGTTGCCGACGGGGCAGTTGGAGCTTTGCGTGGGTGGGGGCTGGAGAGGGAAGGGCGACGGGCAAGAAGGGGTGCGTGGCGTAGGGGACGGCACGATCGGTAGGGTGCGGTGGAGGTAGGAACAGGAAGGGTGAAAATACCAGTTTTAAGGACTACAAGCGCAGTGTTTTAGAGTTATAAAAGATAAATGCGTGCATTTCACATATCGTGAGTTGCGGTTTGTGTTTCAACCTGCTGATTTCGTCCGGGATTAATCCACACATTTTCATGTTTTTCGTCTTAAAAAAGTTTGATGTTCCCTTCGGGGAAATA